ACCCTCCTGGCCTGGAATCCTTCCGCACCTCAGTTGGGAACTTTTTTCGATACTTTTCCCTTCGCCTGCTATTGTGAGTGCCCTGGACATTTCAATAAAGGATAATGTCGTAAAGTTTATATTATAATAAATGAGTATTATTTCACTGGGTTGTAATAAATAAGTGAAACTGATGAACAACTCAAAAGTATCACATATCTGTTTGTCTATCTTCACGTGAAAAAATGACTTTGTTACACATATTAGAGTTAACTAATTTTGACTCTACTTTGGTTATGAAATTTGAAATAAAGAAAAATTTCAGAAAAATGTATAACATTTCTGCATCACGAGTTTTTAACCTTTGAGATCCCAGGAACTAAAATATCATGCTAACACCTAGACTTGATCAACACATTAAAACATTAACTACTGAATGTTAAACAATGCATTAAGATAGTAACTATTGTTTGATAAAACAAAGCATAAAAAAACATTAACTATCGTTTGTCAAACAATGCGTTAAAACACTAACTATGGTTTGATCAAACAACTCATTAAAACACTGGTTATAATTAAATCAAACAGAACTATTTATATATATCGTCTGATCAAATCGTTAAAACACTAAATATGGTTTGATCAAACAAAGTGTTGGTAGTTTGTCATGGTATTATCGAACATTGCAGAGAATAAGAAAGATTCTTTAAAAACCTTCTGAAACGTGATTACTAGACTAATGTTGATACCTACGTACATGTGTAATGGGTTGTCGTTGGCTTATCGTTAAGTTCGACACTGTACTAGTTAAAAATACATTTTTAATGCCATGGGTTAAGCACACAAGCCACCAAATGTAGGAGGTTTACGTCTTGAATTAAATCTGCAGCAGAGTTAATATTTAGTACTTTTCTATCCTCTGACATTATACATTATTCGTTACAAACGTTCTTAAACAAGATAAGAGATAGAAAGAACTACTGCAAAACTCTGTAGTATGGCCATTCTGGATATGAAGGTGGAGCGGAAATCCTGGGCAATTCTGGATCAGTTGAGGAGCTAGAGAATAGCTGGACAAGTGAGGAACTGGCGAAAAACTGCTTAAACCAAAATTACGGCGTTTTATAATGTTTAATTAATATAATTACGAGTTCAGTTTGCTCAATTCTGCGTGTGATTCTTTTAATATGATTGGTACTTCTATCAAACCAAAATCATAAATTATTGTTAATTAGTTTGGGCAATTATTCCTCGATATTGGCGTAGATATCCAAACCCACTAACTCGGAATGTATGGATACAAACAGATTAATTTCGGTCTTTTTACACATATTCTTACGCTGTTACTTCCTCTCAAAGTTCTGTTCGGGGCTAATAAACAGAACCAGTTGATGCTATTTCTCGTGTTACACTCTGGAATGTGTTTCCAACTAACTCTGTAATGTATTTTAAGTTCGTTCTATTCTTATTTGGTAATCTTGCTCGCTTGTTGGCATCAAACGTTTTATACAGAGGACTGATTTAGTAGATGGTTTCCTATTATGTATTTTCCATTACTGTATCTCTTCAATTGCTCTCAAAGTTTCAAAACGTTCAACATTTGCAATTTTAACGAATCCTTTACATGTACAATTGATAAAAAACATTCTGTAAATATCAATAGAATAAATATTTACTATATAATAGCAGCACTACAGTATTCATTGGATTAAACGATCTCACACACACACGTATATGTATTAAGGTGGTCCTTATTTTTGAAGTTTGACTTACAACACTCTCACCCTTCATTTTGTTCCAATATTATATATATAAATAACTCACAACAAATTTTATCCATATTGAACAACATTTTGTGGTTGCTCAAGGTAGTTGAAATTTTACCTTGTAGCTCGCATTATATCTGCATATACTGAATATTCTAAACCATTATTCCAAGGTTGATTTCTGAAGAAATTCAAGCTTATGCTGTGACACATTTCCTGGAAGAGTGTTGAGTCATTGGTCACGTAAAGGCCGTTTACTTTGATACAACAACGAGCAACATTAGTCACAGAAATGGAGCATATGTGGTATTAGAACAAAGGTTAAACAAGAATCTTCTATATTTGGCATGCTGGCATCATGTCTTAGCACTTGATTTGGTATGTATTTTCTAGGATTATATGGACTTTCCTCTAGTCCACATATTGCAATTTTTAATTGATTCCAACAGTCTTAGGAATACATGGACCAGTACAGTTATGAAACTGCAGCTGACCATGATGAAGTAGCAGAACCATAAAAAAGTTTGCTACCGAGTTTGCTACAAAACAAGAGTACCCTTGCTACATAGTCCGTTATATTTCACATCTAATAACATAACATAATATTTAAGGACAGCAAGGGTGTCAGATATAAAGGACTGCTTAGTGTAGGTAATATTAATTAATTAATTTTGTGATTTAATATTTCCTGATTGTTTAATGTGTGTTCTTTTTTGTAATAAGTGAGTTAAGTAAGTTATTGATGTCGAGGCTACAGAGATTTCTAGAATGCCTCAGTGAGAGATATAAATAGCAGCAACTAGAAGAGAGGCAAGAGAGCGGGAAGTGAAAAAGAGTTTCAGTCAGAGAAAGGTTAGAAAACGCAAAGTTAACCGTCGTAGGGTGTTCTAAAGCAATTGAACCTGCCTGTGTGGACTTTGACAAAAAGCAGACGATTATTTGGAAGTAGGCCTAAATATGAAAAAGCAGACGAGTATCGAAAGTTCAAGATGCAACTGCGGTAACTCACGAAGCAGCGTAAGTGAATTATACCCCGATACTGTTGTGATAAAAGAAAGAGAAAGAGAAGAAAAGGAATAAGTGAATTATACACTGATATTGTTTAAAATAAAAATAGAGAAAAATAGTTTGGCTTGTCAACTGAATTCTAAAGCAATTGAAATGGCCAAAATGGACTTTGGAGGCCCTACGTGAGAATAGACCAACAAAGGAACGATAAATGTTGGTGTAGACTATATGAGAGTACTTAGTATATAACCTAAAAACAGACTTTGTACATAGTAAAAAAATATGTCAGATATAAAAGACTGTTTAGTGTAGGTAGCATTAATTGATTATAATTTTGTGAGTTAATATTTCATTATTGTTTAATAGTTTTTTTTTATAATAAGAGAGTTAAAAGCAGACAATTGTTTGAAGTTCTATTTGTAAGTTATTGATGTCAAGGCTATAGAAATTTCTAGAATGCCTCAGTGAGAGATATAAATATCGGCGGCCAGACGAGAGACGAGAGAGCGGGAATAGAGCCAAAAGTAAAGCCTTTTCAGTATTGGGGCATTATATGTGATGGTCAATCTCACTCTTTGTTAGTAAGAAAATGTAACCCAAGAATTGGTAGCAGGTGCTGTTGACTAGCTGCCTTTCCTCTAGTCTGTCACTTATGAAACTGGGACAGCTAGCATAGATATCCCTCTAGTAGCCTTACGCAAAACTCAACAAACAAATATTTAATTAATCATTGTCTGTAGGCAATACGTTAAACCATTTTCTGTTCAGATCTCTCACTCCTTTGTCTGCCCTAACAAGAATGGTGAGTGATGGGGGCAGTAGCCTATTTGAATGGTGATACTGGACCTACACTAGCCAATAGAATATAAAGATACTCTCTCACCATCAAGAAGCCTTCCTGGTGCAGTACCTTATGCCTATCAGTCATACTTATAACTGGTAACTAAGTATCTTCATATTGTAATTACCCTATAGCAACAGAGACGGACAAAGTATTTTGTCCGCTTGATGATCTGACCAGTTTGTGTGTGTGACACTATCTGGTACAACTTGTAGATCTAATTTATGTTAGCCATAGATCCCATATTCTATATATTTGTCCTCCTAATGTTGCATACAACTAGGCTCCAGGTGTTTTAACATTGGGACTGATATTATCTATAGATTAGTTTCTATCTCAATTTTTATACAACAACTGTTCTCGTGTGAATACCTTTTACAATTGATAAAGCATGGTTTTAATTAATTACACTTTTCATAAGACATCATTCTGGGCCTATTAGTATTATATATATATATATATTTAATAGTTAATCTAGTTCCTTAGGGATTTTCAAGAATTAGAAAAATGTATAATAATAGTATTGTTGTTGTAATAAACTGCCTATGTAAATTATATTCCGGCCACTACAGTGATTGTTGTATCCCACCGGTCTGAAGAGCTCTGGATTGAACAAAACGTGAATTGACAATGACTATGACAAATATAGTGTAATTGAGATACTATTATTATACACTCTTCTATTTTTTTAAATATCCGTAAGAAACTGGATTAAAAATGTAATGTTAAAACGTATAATGAGACTAACATGATGTCTTATGACAATTATAATTAATTATAATAATGCTTCGAAGGCTTATTAGAGGCGTTCACACCATAACAATTGTTGTTAAACTCTGAGATCTGAGAACCTCCTGTTGTTAGCGGGCCTAACTTCTCTGCTCTGTTGGTTGGTTATTCAAGAGAAACCACGACATTGATGAACGCAAAAAACCAGGAACTCTATTTTATGATCAAGCAAAATTGGCTGTTGCTGAGCGCCAGTTTAAATTTTTTGTACATATCTCTGTTTATGACATATATAATTGTTGCATATTATGTAATGTTCTACATTGTTGTGTTTAACTAAACTGTCGTGTTTAAATCGCCTATGTCTAACGAATAGCACATGAATAAGTTTAAAAGCTAGGGCTCTCTAATTATATCGTGGTATTAGCTCCAAAATTATCATTAATTAAAAAATTACTTCAAACTACTATAGTGTAAGCCCATATTAAAACCATAACCGAATAATACATGTAAACAAATTATAAACTGGTAATATGTTTTTTTTTTTCTATGACAACGTGTCAAACTGTATTTTTGAAAATAAACGCAAAATAAATGCTGAGTTGAAGTGAGAAGCGACACCTATTATATATATTTAAATAAAAATTGAGCACTCCATTCTGTTGTCATGACAACTATGCAAACAGAATTTATTAGTTAGACACTTTTTAAAACGTGTAATTAATAGCCACAATGACACAGAATAAAAAAATAACGTTCGTGGTTTCTTGAACCTCAGAGCTTTGTATCAAATTAAGCCAAAACGTACTTTAACTGCAGTCTGTAACAATCTGTCGTAAGAAATCAACTGTTCCTTTTTTCGCCTTATTTTTACTTACTTACTTAGTCTTACGTTAATGTTAAATTATTGTTTAGATACTGTAAACTGTAGTATAGGCTAGGGGCTTGTTTGATTTTACACTACCAGAAAGAACAACGTTCACAAATTTGGAAGCTCAAGGTTAGGACAGGTAATTTCAGACGTTAAATTTAGTGATGCTTCTTTAATTCTTTAGATTACTTATAGTAGTTAGTACTTTTGTAGTATATTTACTGTTTTAAATTGGATATTAATATCGATGCTGAATGTGAAAAGCAATTACAATTACAATTAACTAATTAAGCAGTGCATAGTGTTTGGCTTAGGCTAAGCATGGTAGGTTTCATTTCAATTTCATCAGGAAGCAGAATGAGAAAAAACAAAGTGAAAGTTAGTATCATAAAATGAGGTTTTAAAAGTACTGTTGTATTGGAGACCTTAAATTGGCATCATAAAGATTTTTTTAAACTGTAGCTTAGAAGAGTTGCAAGTAATTTATTTTTAATGAAATGGTTATTTTCTTTCTTCATAAAATCCATATATATGGCTGGACCTACTAATTACTTTGGGATTTTCTATGTTATTTTTCATATAGACAACCAGTGTTAATGGTAAAGTACAAGGCATGATTTATTCAACAGTGTGTGGATGTAAATAATGTTACAAGGAAAAGCCTAATTTGATAAAACTTGTGTGACCAGTTAGTCAGTGTCATCAAGAATGGTGAATGCCTAATGTGACTAATGCACATTATTAATGTACTGAATCAGTACTGTTTGTTACAATCCAGTAATACGAATACTATGTATTATAATCCAGTACATAATTTACATTAAAGAAGGCACAACAAGAAATAGACAGACCTGTGTTTTTTATTTGAAAAATAAAATGAGTTTTGATATTTTAAAACATCTCAATTTTTGAAGGCAAAAATTAGCCTTTTTATAATGTTTTTATATTCATTATTTTTGTTTAATTCTTATAATATAAAGATTTATGTATTTATTGACATAACTTTTATGTTTCTAGGAGTATTTATTGAATCCAGCATGACAACTTTACCGTTGGCACAGTTGCATCATGTTTTTGGCTTTTATTGTAAGGTGCAAAATGGTGTTGGATTTTATGATGAGCAGACAGTCATATATGTGGTAGGGAAAGTTATCATATTTCATAATGCTGATTATCATGTTCAAAAATTTATAGTTTGCAATGAATTGAACGATATTACTACATTGAAAATAAGCTCTAATCGGAAACATTTAGCTGTTGGAGACAAAGGAGGTGATAAACCAAGTGTACTGATATTTGATTTGGAGACTTTACGGAAGAAAAAAATACTTACTTCTGGTGATATGCAGTCAAATATCTTTGTGAGTGTTGCTTTTTCTCCCGATTCAAAGTATGTGATAGGGCAAGGAGGTATGCCAGAATGGACACTTAGTATGTGGCACTGGGAAAAGAATCGACTCATAACTACTCTCAAGCCTATAAATCTTTCTCCTCATGCTGAAATTCATCAGGTAACAAACTGAAATGTTATGAATAATAGTTATAGTGTGTATGTTTTTTTGTCCTGCTGCTGCTTTACAAAAGGATTTTGATTATTTGATGAATAAATGGCAGGTGACTTTTAATTACAATAAATGCAAGGGATTGAATTATCAATCCCGGCTGAAATGCCACCCTACAGGTGGCTATTTGTTCTGGTCATTTCTAATTGTAGCATTCATATCTCAATGACAAAAGTTTAGAAAAATTTAACATTTTCTATAAAAGGATTTTGTTTCTGGGAAGTACTGCACGGGAAGAATGTTCGGATTGTGCTCTTTAGTCATACACAACTCATTGCATCAAACTGATTAAATGTACAGAGCTCAACATTTTCATAAGTTTACTGATATAAACTGTAACATTTTTATATATTAAAAGTTGTACCATTTATTGAAAAAATAGCAGTTTTTTAAAAACTCCAGTTTTTCATACTACATTTAAAAATCACATCAATAAAGATATAATCAAACCCTCATGAACAGTCCTAGTGAAAGTCATGTTCTTGTTGTGAGGAGAGTACGTTTATTTAAAATTGTGTTCTGTTATAAAGAAATGTTTGTTGCACATACCAGAGTTATTTTTCTATTTGAATCTTGAAATTTGTTATGGATTTTTGTTTGTCGTGCCATTCAGTAGATGGGATAGGGGTTTTGGTTACATACATAGATACTGACATAAAACTACATCCATTATAATAAGACAGAAATAATCTTAACAGTGTTATGGAAGAAAGTGACCTTGGTTTTCTGATCAATCAATTTCTTGATCCATCCAAGCAGTGTGCTGTTGTTAGTGGTAGGATTTTAGGTTGTATCTACAGAAATATTAAATAAAGAGATTATCATTGTATAAATCACTGGTTAGGCCATATTTGGCTACTGTTTTCAGTCTTAGGCTTGTTACCATAGGAAATTTTAGAAAGGGTTGAGAGGAGGGTTGCTAGGATGATACCTGTGATGGAAAAGTTGTCATATGAGGAAAGGTTAAGATCTTTGAAACTGTTTTTTTAAAAAAAAAAGTTAGAGGGCATCTGATAGCCATTTAAGATTGTTTAGAGGGCATCTGATAGCCATTTAAGATTGTTTAGAGAGCATCTTATAAACCATTTAAGATTGTTTAGAGGGCATCTGATAAACCATTTAAGATTGTTTAGAGAGCATCTGATAAACCATTTAAGATTGTTTAGTGGGCATCTGATAAACCATTTAAGATTGTTTAGA